CTGCCTATCGACAGAGGGGACGCCGCTGAATCACTTGTCTCCGCAGGAGCGGCCGCCGACGCCGGCGGCGTCGCACGTGCCGCGCGAGCCGCGCCGCCGCCGGCGCCGACGCGCCGCAGCTAGACGGATCTGACGAGCGGCTCTATCTTCTGTCACGGTAGTGAGTTTAGTGTCAGCGTAGTGCCGTGAATAAATGCATGAGGCCGGCATCCGAGTGAGTGTAAGTCAGGACATGCACAAGTTTTGGCGTAAATCGTATAACTTCTCAGAGGGGCAAGAGATGCGCATGTTAGGACACTTCACAAGTAGCTATGAATAAGATTATGAAATATCTTCGACTTATATTGTTGTCATTGAGACTTTACGACGCACTCAAATACTGGGGCTTTGTGGCGTCACCGTCCTATGACTCTGGCAGGAAGGGCGGGCACCGCAGCGAATCGAACCAACTACCTCTGGTTTCCCCAGACGGACTTCAATTTATGTTGATTTTTTGTTTTGATAATTGTACGAAGTGTGAAAAGAGCTAAATACGAAAATGAAAAACGTAAGCCTAAGCATGAAGTGGTTAGGGTTGCATTTGACGCTCTCATTCATACTATGCTATGCTATGCATTCTTACTATGCTATGCTAACTATGCATGTGACATTTCTCCAACTTACCCTCTTCCGCACCAGAGTCATTATATGTTCTTATTCCAAATATGCACACACATAACTCGGCCCTTTACCCATTCTATGTAGGTGCATATGGGCTTAACCAGCCCGAGGAGCCTTTTGGCGTGTGCGTCGCACGGTGCAGTACATGCACATGACACACGACACATGGTATCCGAGAGTTAAGAAGCCCGTACGACGAATGCCGGAACTTGTGCAATGCCCGACGCATCGCACTTGGATCCCTCTACCCACGGATGTCCGTCTACGCTTCCAACATCTAGCATTTGGGGCATCCGCCCCGCAGTACGAGGAGAGATTAGGGCTGCGACAAACTTGTGCAACGCCCGACGGCATCTCACTTGGATCCCTCTAGCCACGGATGTCATCCTATCTTGCCAGCATCCAGCATTTGGGGCATCCACCCCGCAGTACGAGGAGAGATTAGGGATGTGGCAAACTGCAATAAATAATCACCTAGGAATCGATGATATGCATGAGGGCTGCTTGAGCCCTCAAACGTAAGTTCCGACAGCAGACACCTACCACGATGATGCACCTCTGGCCCAGGATCTGCGACAGGTTACTCGGGGAAGACAGACAATGGCACGCGCCACAAACGAGCTGGCCATTCGTCCCCTCGCTTGGTCAATAATGGGGGAGTCTACATGAGTGCGCAGAAAAATCGGAAAACTGCACAGATTGGTCAATAGCGGAGCAGTCTATCAGCTGGCTGCATTGTGCGTAGATAGTCGGCCAAATGACCGCGATATGATGTCCCGAATTACAAAAGTGGAAGGCATATTACCCGTGGAAGTCCAGTCGATGCAAATCAGTCAGACGGGTTGTTGAATATCTCCAAGGATGCTTAGAGATTTAAGTAAGCACCACATTCAGAACCGGACGGCAGCACTTGAGTGCGACACCAATCCCCGACCCTTTCACATAGTCTGCCAAATGAAATGTCTCCTAATCACCGGCTTACCTCCTTATACCAGCATGATCGGTGTTTACAGCCCTCCTCAGACAGCGTGACTCCCACCCAGGCCGGCCTGCACCCAATCTACCATGCCTGCCGATCGCTTTTGGCCCGTATTTGCCTGACATGAAGGGGTCGACATTCAGCAACACTCGAGCGGCTCAAGCACTAGGTTTATGTCCGGGTTTAGGTTCGGGCTCAAGTCCAGGCTCAGGTGCGGGTCCGGTCCGGTCCGGTCCTGTCCGGTCTTAGGTCCAGGCTCAGATCCGAGCTCAAATCCGGGCTCAGGTGCGGGTCCGGTCCGGCTCGGTCCGGTCTCAGCTCTCAGGTCAGGGCTATGGTTGCAGGGCGGTGCTCACCACGTCCGCAGACTAGTCACACCGACGGCATGGGCGGCACTCAGCCTCTAGTATTCAGGGGGTGGGAATCAAGAAGCAGACAGAGTCGGTCAGTGGGGGGCGCCCCGAGGAGGTGCTCTGAATGGACCTGACGAGGGGACGGATGGAAAGAAAAAGAAGCTGAGACCGAGGGCAGCACGGGGCACCTCTACAGGGCCAAAGATAGGGTCGGCCACCTGGCCACAGAGGTGCGCCTAGGGACAGCCGTGGGAGGAGAGCAACGTGACATTCCTCCATCGACGTAGCAACAGGAAATGAGTGTTTGAACACTTCCTGGGAGAACACAACAAGAAGCTTTTACAACGCATGGTGGCAGAAAACACGCCATTTTGCTTGCAGTACAAATAATGCAATTTATAAGGGTACCACACACGCTTTTTTCTTGATACTCAGCCGATAGCCGCATACATGAACCAACTTGCGGTCGATGATCATGTAGTGATATACATAGAAGCAGCTCATGCATGTTTTGCGCGTGTTGTTCAATCTGCTTGTTTTACCATCATAAGCCCGTGCAAAACAAAGCCAGCGTGCGTCAACCGAGCGCGGCGTCGGTATAAAAACAGATCAATCGCATCGAATAGATGACTAATTTTATGATTCTTTTTATAACCAACCAACCTTTCAAACCAACCAGAGACGATGTGCGTAAGCTCGTATGCCTGAGACATGAAATCTTCCTTTGTCAAGTTCCTGCCGTTTGTTTGCTCGTATTTCAACGACACATCACGGATGTTTTGATGAACATTCCACTGATTTGAAATATCTTAAAATTCGACAAGCGTCTGAAGAACTTTACCTTGGCAAGCTAAAGAGGGTGTATCAAGAATGACTGACCAAGGTTTAATTGTGACTTCGATCACCACATTCAGATGTGGAATGTGAGATGCTATAGAGATGACTCACATGAATGCATGTTGGATGTTTTTTGTCACATTAGAATAGCTATGGGAGAAATAAGATGGTTTTCAGATATAGAGCGGAAGTAAAGCAGAAAGCAGAAGGTAATATATTTCGCCGTGTAGCATCGTCAGGGCTACATCAACAGGACGAACAAGACATTAAAAAAGAGAGGAACCAAGCATCTTATAGTATCGATCCGCAATAGACCGGTGCTATCAGATGTTATTGTATTTGAAGGATTGCGGGAAGATAAAACGGTCATATGTAAAAAAAAGCACGATAGAACATGAAAACACATACAGATACACAAGAAGATTAAATAAGTTCGTAGTGCTTTGAATAATCCCACCATTACGGGCACTGTGTTTAGTCCAGGTCAGGGAATCGGATTACCAGTTGACCTTCTCAGCCACTAAGGACTCTCCAGTTACCTCAATGAATGCCACATCTATGAGCTCTTCGTCGATCTGCTGTGATATGCGGCAAAGACGACAATGTCGCCAGAGTCTTTTTTTCGCTGGGAATATCGCTTGGATTGAATAAGCTCGCCAGGCTATGCACATACTGACGAGGCTGATACGGTGACCTGACTGCAGCATAGTGAGCTGCAGACATGTGCCGGAAGCAAGAATAACGCTGCAATGCAATTGTAATGTATGGTGTTGTGATAGAGCTCACTTTGCATTGCCATTCGCGGATGGACACGGTACTTCACCATAATGGAAATCGTCACGTCAGTATTTGATGCTGAGTCCTGACACCAGGGTGTCAAAACTCAGCATCAAATGCCGACGAAAATGAATAATAGGTACATGACACCGCATACCAGTGCACTGGTATCATGTATTATCTCAAAGGATCAAGAGATCGACGCCTCAGATGCACAAGAGACGTTAAAATTGCTCTCGCTTTTAGTTATTGGTACCGGGTTTTCGCTTATAAGATTATGTGCAAACATAACCACCATTGAGCACAGTCTTTGCTTTATAAGTAGATCATAGCTTCTACAGTATGGACATTTTCGTAGTGATAAAAAGGGTTTAAAATTGGAAAGCGCGTCGAAGCTTTTCAGCTCAGAGAAATGTGCACCAAAGCAGTTTCCGAAAATGAAAGCTGCAAAGTAAAGGGGTAGCAAACATCGTGAGCCTTAAAGCGCCATTGCAATATCCGAAACGCAAACTATACGGGCAGCATGAATCTATATTGATTTGTTGGTGTCTTACAGAATTCACCCCCTCTGAACTTTATTAAGTCCAACTAAGATGTCTGTTGACGTCTCTGGGGCAAGGGAGTTTGAAATGGGCGTCGACAACTACCGGTTATAGGGCAAGTTATTTAGCGAAAAACGATTTGGTTTGACCTTAATCCGACCCGCATTACTGACCCAAGATCAATGCAATTTGTTACGATCCTTACTGAAATGTCTGACCATCGGAGAAATCAGCCCACATATGTATGACTTCGACAAATATTACGCTGTCGCATTAGATTGAGCGGTTGCTTAAGAACTGCCTTCATTTCTAGCCACCGCGTGGCTTTGACTTGCAATAGGTCAGCGGCTATATAAGGTTTATCAATTTTTTTTTATTTCAAAAGATCGACTTATCAATAACATACAACCAGATGAGGTGTGTTACGTTACGTTAGCTACGTTAGCTACGTTAGCTACCTACGCTACGTTAGCGCCGAAAAGCGCCAATCCAGAGCTTATTCGGGAGAAACTTTCGAGGAGAGAGCAATCTGACCCTCCCCACCCAAGCCTGTGTTAATACATGCTAGACATTTGGTCAAGGGGGGGGGGGGCACGTAGTCTCGTGGCTTCTATGTGTGTACTTTCTTTCTTTCCTACTTTCTGAATGTGCGGTTTCTAAGGTTTTAAAGCAGTTGAGAAGTCACTGGACGAAACAACATATCCGTGTAAGTAGTGCAGCATGTAGTCCAAATGAACAGTGGCAGGTCTTCGCAGGGCCATCATTGAAATAGGTGCATAAATAAAGAGTTAACAACCATTATTCTCTTCCGACATCAACAAATAACAAGTCACCACATCCAGAACCGCTCACCTGCTTGGTCACCGCTGGTGGGATCCGTTCCCAGGCAGCACGCCTCGTGACCCGGCTCCGGGCCGACTCGACCCCCTCTCGGCCGGAGGTCACTGACCGGCGCCGTGCGGGTCCGGGGTCGCCTGACGCACTCGTGCGGGATGCCTCCCGGACGTCGGCGCCGGACTGCCTGGGCCAGGCCCTCGCGTCGACACCAGTGCGTCGGCGCGCGCAGCAGCGGGGCACCGCCAACTCACCTGGATGGTGGCGGGGCTCGCCGCTCCGTCGAAGCCGGTGGCGGGCTCAAAGGCGCCCGACACTCACTGGTGAGAGCTGGACGACGGCGGGGTCAGAGTGGCCTGCTACCCACTGGTGGGAGCTGGACGACGGCGAGCTCAGAGGAGCCTGGCACTCACTAGTGGGAGCTGGACGACGGCGGGCTCGGAGGAGCCTGACACTATCATTGGAGGCGGCGAAGGACGGTGAACCGGCGTAGGAGAGGGGGGGGGGGGGAGTTTGCGAGGGGACATGCCCATGGGATGCTGCCCGGCATTAGTCGCGGAATATGGCTTACACTTCTAGTGGCTTGTGATGGCACTTGATAGCATCAAAGTCGGTATTAAGTTATGCTGAATAATCCTTTGAAATTAGTGAGCTCGCCCCATAAAGTTAGGAAAGATTAAACGCCAATAATTTGTAAAATTACGCCAAGTGGCCGACACGATATATAAGTGTTCGAAAACCTAGTCTATACCCCACGCATTTTCGTTAAATGCAATTCATTATGTGCGTCAAGAAAGTGAAAATTCTTAATATCCCCTAATATTCACCGCAAACAAATAAGAAACTCATTGCCTAAACATGGTATTTCCGCTTCTGAAAATGAACACCTGCTTTTGACACCGACAATTCACGGAAGCTATTTCTGCTGTAAATGCACGAGCATGCTTTTTCATGTCTTCAGTTGACCGGCTATCTAAGTCGTTGAACAATGTTCAGCCAGTTGTCGTCTCTCCAGCCATGGCCGCCGCCGCCGCTGGGCACCTTGTGTTGATCGCCGTATCCATGTGTACTGAGGGCTGGCCTTCAGCCGCCGACGGTAAGTACCGTCTGCACGTTCGATCGCGGTACAAACGACTGAGACGCGGGCAGGTACGGAACATGGAACATGCCGCGCCGCGGGATTGGTCGCACAGGCCTCTTAATGAGGCTGGCTTTGTTTGATTTCGCTGCGTGGTTCGGAGCCTGCCTAGTCATTGCCCGAAGCCGCGGTCCTGTCGCCTGCATTCCATCGCCGCGTGCCACCTCAGGGCTCATTCGTGCACTAACACAGCGCTGTTACGGGTGACACCTCATCCGTTGTCAAGACAACGAAATGTCAACCAATGACTGGTCCGCATTGGACCGAGGCGGCCAGCGTCAGAATGCGGTGACTGCAGACTGGGCGACGCAAACACTGCGCCGAGCGTGGCGGTCGGCCTGTGCACCAAGTCAGTTCCCATTCGGATCCGAAGGCGCAGGGAACGGAGCCCATTCAGTTCCCATTGGGGGGCGGGGGAGGGGGGCGGGGGGAAGGGCGGAGCTCAAGAAGAACGCGTTGCTCTCCTTTCATACTGTCAGCAGCCATGGTGAAAAATGAACAAATGCGTGTCCGGGGGTGGGGGCGGCCCCCCTCTCGCCTGCGCCTGTGTCCGGGTATGTAAAGATGTGGATGTTGATCCCAGGCTGCTACTGGGCACATTTTATAGGAAGTGGGTACCAAAATTTAGAGCCGTGGTTCGTCACCGGATGTCTTTTTAAAGTCAGTTGTTTATATATAAATGTTGCGGAGATCTGGGCCAGTTAGTGATTGTTGCCCTTCAAATATCGAGAAAACTGGCCATTAGCTTCAAAAAAAATTACGCACAGTATGATTGCATGGGTTTCCGTGACCGGCTAAGCAGTACTGTTGCGGTTTTGGAAGTTTGGGTCAACGTGGAAACTTTGCCGCCAAAGATTAACGTGCCGCAGTGCTCTGCTCTGTTCTTCCTGCACTATAATGCCACCTGACATTTAATACGGACACTACCACCAGCCGCAGGTCATCCCAGTCAGTGGTAAGCATCGAGTGTCTGCAGCGACCAGAGCCCACCCTGTCAGGGATGAGTATATCAGAAGGCAAACGTTCTAACCATCTGAGCTATCAGCCTGACATTTTTGTTGGGGGTTAAGGGCTTATGCTGACAAAGTCGATCGTTGTTTTGCCAGCATTCATCGGTTAAACGACTTTTCAAGCTACCAGGCGGTCAAGACAAAACAACATTGGCTATGTTTGGAAAACCGAATATTTGCATACATGTAAACGACGCCCATCAAAACAGTTTACAGCTGATATGTGTGAAATGCAGGAAATGTCCGTTCTGTGCGGACAGAGCCATTGAAAAGAGAGCACTATGGTGAACGACCCGTAGCCCCTCATCCAAACCCCGGCACTCGGTAATACGCTGAGGACTGCACGGAACACAGACCGCTGTGCCGGAGGCTCCTGGCGGGCGGCCGTGTGGAGCTCCGTTTGGGGGGGGGGGGACGACAGACCGACCCAGGCGGTCGTGCCAAACACGGTCTGGGGGACGACTGCCCTACCCAGGCGGTCGTGTCGAGCGTGGTCTGGAGGGGGGGGGGGGGACGACAGACGGGCCCAGGTGGTCGTGTCGAGCTCGGTCTGGGAGGATGACAGGCCGACTAAGGCGGTGATGTCGAGCACCGGTAAGCACCATGACCCCGTTGGGGTCCTCTTGATAGAGGGCCTGGAAGCGGGTGATGCCGTCACGGACCGTGCCGGCCGCCCGACAGTCATCGGCGCCGCGTTCTTGGTGAGAGCAGCGCGCGGGCCGACTCCCCAGTAGGAACCAAGCCGCCGGAGCGCGACTGAGCCCAGGGGCAAGGAGCAGTCCAGGGCCAGGGGCAGATGAGCCACTGCGTTGCACAAGGTGTTTTGAGTTGGCATCTGCGCATCCTTATAATTGGATATTTTATGCCCTTTTTCGTGTCCTGAAAACCAGGCCTGTCCCACTTCCAACGTCTAAAAGATTTTAGCATTCGATATGCTGTATAATGCAGCAGGCTCGTACAATGTGTAGCATCTGCACCATAGGAGCAATGGTGAAGGGCATACTTTTTGCAGCACATTGAGCAATGAAGTGTGGTGCATAATCATGGGACAAGTAATCAAGCATCTTAGTTTATATGGGAGCCATGCTGAAGTAGACATGCTGAGTCATGTCGTATTCTTTCCATCCTCCGCGTGCCTCATGCTTCCACATCAGCATCTTCCGTGCCACTTGAAGTAACGGGCGGCGCACTATTACCACAGGTGTTTGCATTCGTATCTTATCATCTCGGATAGCGCTAAAAATGACGCGCGGCGATACCCTGAACGACTGCCACATCTTTAGACCAAAATTAAGTCAATCGAGTGTCTGCTAAGTGTTACATCACTTTTATATGTGCTGACTGTAGCACATATAAAAAATTAGCGTGTAATGCTCTTAGAACGGCTTTGTGGGACTTCAACGGTAGGAAATCATCACCTCGGTGCAACTCCAACAGAAATACCGTGCCGATAAAAGCCAAAGGAAGGTCCCATACCCACGAGAATCGCACAGCTGCGTCACGGACATACCAAGCCCGGTTACCACTGTCTGCCTGGCGACGCCACGGGTTCCGAACCCGCTACACTCGCCGCCCGACCGACGATGAAGGCCGGCGCGGCACGAGCGGTGCTGACGTCACCGAAGTCGATGAGGTGTGTATGGTGCTAGTCGGTTTCGTTGTTTTCCTTTTGGTCTATTTTCATTACGGTCGGTTTACTCCAGACAAGCTTGGACGCAGTGTACACGACCTTCTTGCACGTATCCTGAGTGGCGACGCGCCTGCTTATTCATGTCCTTTTAAAGGCAACGACAATCAAGGGTGAATAAAAAAGCATTTGTCGAACAAACTGCGTAACTTCTGCGTCGGACACTCAATCTTGTTCAACCGCCGCGCCCAATCGCCGACATCCGTGGGACCACAACAACCATGCAAGGACCGCTTAATATCAACTTAAAAAGCATTCTAAATACATTTATTGGAACAGGTACCTTGTTGAGGTGAAATTGTCCAATGCAGTTAATAGACAAATGCCACAGCGCCACAAACAGAGGACTATATTAAGGCAGCCTTGGCAGGATGACATGAAGGCCGGTAGGTCCGGGACGAGCACTTTCATCAAAGCAAGCACATTAACGAAGCCGCCAGACGCAGATCAGGAAACAATCAGCTGCTGTTGTGAGCACAGAGACCTAATAAGCCACCCATTAGCCGGCACAGACTGGGGCGACAGAGACATCACACGGCACGGTTATGACCTCGAGGATAGGCGCGACCGTGAAATATAATCAAGAGGGGAGGGACCACAGGCGGGTCCTGTCAAAGGTGCATTTCCTCCCTCTGCGGCGAGGAGCGTTTACACGGACCCGCAAAGCACCAACGGATGTCGAATGGCACCAACACTGCAAAGGAACACAGCTGACACCGAACTGCATTGTAAGCACTGCATTTTATTCGTTCTTGGCAAGCTAAAACCCTTCTACTCATCACTTCATCTCGTCCAATCCGTCTTTTTGCCGGCCTATGGAGACCGGCACCGGACCTCCACTCCAAGCCAGGCCCCCTTCGCGGCAGACTCCTCTCCAGCTCCAACGGCCATCGCCAGCACCAGCCGCCGACACCAGGACGCTCAGGCCACGGTAGCCACGGGCCGGAGCGGCGTCCGAGCGACGGTCGGCAGGCGGCGCAGGTAGGCTAACACGCGGTCCAGCGCCGGGTTAGCGGCCACCACCAGCCAGGCGAGCAGTGCGAGGCCGGCCCGCACTCCGCACAGCACCACCAGGCGGTGGCAGTCGTCGCCGACGGCGCTGCGCGAGTGCCACGCGCCACCCAGCGTCTGGTTGTATCGGTACAGGTCGAAGCGGTCGTCGAGCGGCGCCAGGCAGGTGGAGAGCGCCAGCACGGCCAGGTAAAGCGGCACGGTGACACCGCCGTCCTGTAGCGTCAGCGACTGGCGGAACTCGGCGGCCGAGGCGCGCCCCACGTCGTAGCGGTCCAGAACCGCCACCGCGCACACCACCGACAGCGTGAAGAACAGCGCCTTGAACGGCAGCGCCAGCTGCGAGTAATGCGAGGCGAAGTCCAGCGTGTTCGACTCGTCCCACGTCAGCGCGAAGATGAACATGAAGTGGCCGATGGCGAGGCCGGCGAACAGGCCGAAGCAGAGCCGGCCCAGCGGCGCGAACACGCGCTGCGTCTGCACAGCCAGGTCCACGGCGCAAGCCTGGCTCTTCTTCGCGTAGGCGGCGCCGGCCGCGCGCGCCGGCGCCGCCCGCTTGGTGGCGTGGAAGCGGTTGCCCTTCTCGACGAACAGCTTGGTGGCGTGCGCCTGCAGCTCGCAGCCGGGCGCCAGGCTGTCGCGTCGCGCGCCGCCCGGCTCGCTGTCGGAGCGCAGCTCGTCACCGAGCCGCGACAGCTCGTCCGTGATGGAGGGCTCGGCCGTCTCGTCGCCGGCCGGCTCGGAAGCCGTGGTCAACTCGAGCGGCGCTGGCCGGCTGTCGTGGCGCGAGCTCGAGTCGCCCGCCGCCGGGTCGTCGGCAGCGCCCGGGGACCTGGCGCTGGGCGAGGGCCGGGGTTAGGGACACTCAAAGGCTGCGTCACCCGTCGGCGGAGGTGACGGCAATAGGTGTCAGCAGCCAACAAAACAAACCAGCCATGTGGCTACGTCAGACAATAGGAACTGTCCCATTAGTCCTCATTAAGCATTCATACAAGTGCTAGCAGAATGTGTGCATTTATACTTATATATACACATACGCCGATACATTCGTACACATGCGTACGTGGGCGCGTGTATGGCGGTAACTGACCGGTGCGTATCGGCCGAGTCAGTAGCGGTCGGGCGGACCCGCTCCTCCCCCGCCGCCGCCGCCGCCGCCGCCGCCTTGGCACGGCGCCGTCGCTTGGCCTGCTGGCTGCGGTACTCGCGGCCGCCGTAGCGCGCAGAGTCGTCACTCGAGTCGAGCTTTGGGTCAAGCGCAGTCGCCAGCGGCGGCAGCTGCGGGCGCGGTGGGCTCCGCAGGCGACGGGGCCGCGGCCGGACCGACGCCTCCTCCCGGCCGCCGTCACTCATGGCAGGTGGCTCTGCGAGCGGAGGGAATAGGTGAGCAGGGGCAGCGATGTCATCTGACGCCTCCTCCCGACTGCAGTACTCGTGGAAGGCGGCACTACGAGCGGAGGGATCGGTGAGCAGGGGCAGCGGTGTCATTTGACGCCTCCTCCCCACTGCCGTACTCGTTGCCAGCGGCTCTGCGAGCGGAGGTATGGGTGAGCAGGGGCAGCAGTGTCATTTGACGTCTCCTCCCCGGCGCCGCCTCAATGGCAGGTGGCCCTGCGAGAGGAGGAAGCGGGTGAGAAAGGACAGTGGTGTTCTTCAACGTCGCCCCTTCCCCATTGTCGTTGCTCATGACAACAGTCATTGCACGTATCTTCGATGTTTCCTTGTTTTGTATTCCATACTGTCCAGTTTTAAATCTTGTTCATGAACACAATGCCTACTATTTGGACGAATTGCCGTATGCAGCATGCCATACCAACCCTGATATCCTACTATCATGATAAGATACCCATTGCACTGAATTGATTGGCCAAGGTCTCAAGGCAATCGGACAAGCCGTTTCGAGGAATGAGCGGGTCTGCTCCATGCGTCGGTTTATTAAACACTGCCCCTCTGACATCTCCCGCTCTTTAGCACAGTTGCTTCCGCCGGCCAAACGCCATGCCTGTCGACGGCAAATGGCGAGCACTTAACGCGACTCGAGTTCACCCCGCTTCGGATGGATGGATCGCAAGGCAGGTGCTCTAATCAACTGAGCCACTGGGACAGACATGAAACTTGAAAATCGTTGCATGAATTGGAGATTTGTGGTTCTGACTGAGGAAAGGGGGGATATAACTCCGGAAGCCAAAAATAGGTAGCTCCCGGTTACGTATGGCTCTGATCGCACCGCACCATCCCCCCTCCGCCAATGGTCAGTTTTGTACAGTTGTTTTACATGAAGGGGAACAACACCCGTGGCTGGGGTAAGGGGGATAGATTGCTGGGCCAGGGCGCCTGGCCAGTGGCCGATTGGCCCTGGTTACGGCATAGTTCAAAGACTCTCACGGGAGGATAAAAATAACGCCCGGAAAACATGACCAAGACGGTACGCATGATTCACCCGACGAAGCTCCCTACCTGCCTGCGTTTATTTCCCAAGTGGCACAAATCCGCCCACCCTCGCACTGCCCGCACTGCTGGCGTCTGCTGCTTCCGTTCACTACAGGCGCAGAGACATTTCCAATATGGAATGCTCGACACGCACCGGTTGAAATAGGAAGTAATTAGGCCCACATAAGCATACCTTGGAAATATTTTATCTTAACAAAACTTTTTATTTTTTATCGATAACTATAATACAGTTTTTATCTGTATAATTCAATTCTAAATTAGAAAGTTTGGCTATTATCAGCCGTAGCTTTGCCTAAAGATGCGGTACCGTTGTGACAAACCTGACGCATTGATGGAAAGCCGGATTTACAAACATCCTACAATTCCTCAAAAGGCTCTTATCTGCCACCTCTGTTATTCATGGTATGTACGCTCCAAGAGCAACGCGCCAGCAATTGGCGCATTCTGAATTTACCTTTGTAGCGCGGTGGCGCATATGCAGTGCGTCGGAGTGTGTTGCGGGGGGGGGGGGCCCGGTGTTCGCGAATAGAGCGGAGGGCTGCGTGCTGAGTAATTTCCTGAGCCCTGTTGGGGTTATTCAGTCAATGATTTGTTGAGATGGAAGTGTGAAAATGTGTGTTATTTGACCTGGACTCATAGCAAGGCTGAACTAGCCGTGGTGGTGCCAGGTACCTGAGATCAAGCGGAGACCGAGAGGTAAGAGTGTTAAAGCATGGTGCTTGGTATGCTCATGCTGGGACTAGTCAATAAACTGCCATGTCTTTTCTACTACACATCCTGAAATAAATGATTAGTATTAAATTTAAGTAATTGGTCCTTAATGGGTGGACAGGTGCGCAGCCTATAGCATGAATGTGCTGTTTGTGGTGCAGTCAGCCACGTATTAACTCATTTGCTTTATACCTACACATTGGTTCACTGAGCTGGGCACACATAACAGACCATTCTTAAAAAGTCTGAGTTTACAAATTATTTTGGTTTTGCTGAAAGTGTTTTGAGTAAAAGTATTGCTTGAAGTGATGTGTGCACCCAGGGTATGCCACATTACATGTATTGCAGTCCAGCTTGGGGTGATCAGCAATCAAACAGGATTCCTAAATGCATCCATTAGGGTGTGAAGGATGCAGGGATACACTTGAATTACCAGAGTTCCAGCACACTGAGACAGAAAGATCAAAAGATGTATGGTATGGCAGCAACATTGATGCAACTCTTTCAAGATGGTTATGTGTAGATCTCAGTACTCAGGGTTTGGCGCAGACACCACCAATTCTAGCATTTGGTGCTGTTTCATAAATTTCCATTGTTGCACAAGTTGTATGAAGAAGCATACTTATAGACATTTTTTCATGCAAACAATTTGAAAATCCAATTTAATTTGGCCCGGCCTGAGTGGTGCATGTATGCCTTGTAGGCCTCTGCATGGTGGATGACCACAAAAAAATTGTTTTCATACTGATCTAATTCCCTCATTATGAATAGTATCTTGTTTGCTGCTATTTTTTGCAATTTGACCCTGAACCCTGTGTATACCCTGATCTACATGGCCATACTGTCAAGTGCTAGGTGCTCAGATGCTGGGTTGACCAATTTGTGGCTCAATGCTGATTGGCTGAACCTGAGTGAGAGGAGGAGCAATAGGCTGTGAATGTAGCACCATAAGTGCTGAAGTTTGGAAATTACTGGCATCCCGCCACTTGAGATTTCAAACATTGCAACTGTGATAGCACCACTTTCTCTCAAAGGGGCTGCCTTTGCAGCTTTTGGCAATGCAGATCATGTCAGAATTTGTGTGTGCTTCCAACAGTTGGAGACCTTTGGAACTTGTTCTCAAAGAGTACTTTACAACATGAATGTGTTCATTCTCTTTTCTATTCTCTTTGTTCTTGAAAGAGTTTGGTGTTTCATTCTTCATCCATTTAGGAATGTTTAGTCTGCCACAAACCCAGCACATTCTGATTTGGTCACAATGGTAGATCCTGAGTTGTTTGTTAAAAGCTGTGTTCAAGTGTTTTGTTAAATGTTAATACCTTTGAACAGTTAATAGCTGAACATGGCCACTTGTAATCTTGGATGCCAGCTGAATGTTTCTGAACCTTGAGTTAAGGCTTATACACATGGATATTGATTGTCAAGGGTTACCTGCATTATATGCATCATGCGTGAGCTGCGCATGTGCAGGAAATATTGGATTGATAGTTGGTGTCCAGGTAATTTAGGCAGACAGCTGGTGTGTTTTGTTGCTTTATGTTAAGGCATTGCATCTCAGCATTCAAGTTTGTTTGGAACAGTACAGTCAAGGGTGTAAATGTTACTTCATTGTTTGTGGCTGGCAGGCTGTTTGTAGGTGATGTAACAAATTTATACCTTTTCCTAAGTTTGCACCTTATTTTCTGCCTTGCTCTCATCAAAAGCAGGTGCCAAAACTATCACTGACCTACACAGATGCTCACTATGACTAAATAATGAAATGCACACATGCTTACTCATGCCACAAGCACAAAGATTGAGAGGACACTTGTCTTGTCTATATATATATATATATATATATATATATATATATATATATATATATATTTCATTCTGCATAACATGGGGAAAATCAGACTCCAGTATCACTCCGTACTTTCATTCTGTCAGACTGAAAAGACAAGGTTGCAGGTTCTTCCAACAATTGGGTGTGACAGCATTGTAGTCTGATAGGTCACTGGTAAAAATGAATTGGAAATGTGAAGAGGCTATTGGCAGTTGAGATTTTTGTTCTCGGAAACTCCTTGCGCAATTATAGGTGACTGCTTATGCATGCTCATAGAAATAGTACACAAAAACAAATCCCCCCTGGCCTCCCAAGTCCAATACTGGGCTCAAATCACCAATCACCTCATTACAGCACCTCCAAATTGTGTGACAACCTCCTGTGCAGATGAGCAGAAATTGTGATGGTCTTTAACAGTTTACTTGAGTGTCTGCAGTTGCTAGTAGTCCTTTGTTCATAAGACCATCGCTGTGTCTTGGAAAATAGTTAACTGAGGGAACTTAAAAGAGGAATGTCATGTAACTCCCTGCTCACCACTATGAAAGCGACACATAACAATTGCCTGGCGTAAGGTGTATGTTCTGCTATGCTTGCAACACACTAATGTGTTAAAATGTGTGCCATAAATGCTGTGAATGCTTGAGACACTGTGTAGACAAAAGGTATGCAAACATAAATATTTTGTCCTGCAAGTTAAGTGTCACTGTTAAGTGTCCACAGTGTCAAACTATGGCTTTGATTTCTCCTCTGACATTTACCATAGTGACTTTTCTAGATGCTTTTTGGCTTTTGGAATGGGAGCATCACATGGACCACAGGGACACACTGGTTCAAGCTTCACCCATTGTCCTACTCAGTAACAGGCCGGTGCGGCCCGCTGGACCAATTAAACGTCGTTTTAATCATACCAGTAGAGATGTGCACAGCCATTATCCTGACGGCGGTAGTCGCGACTGCAGGGAAGAAACATAGTGCTGTTATAAAGTGTTCATGGCTTAACTTGAACTTGGATAAGTAAAATATGGGGCCCTATGTCTTGACGGTGCCACGTTGGCTCTACCTAATGCTATCATTAGACATAACTGGTCCTTAGGTTTCATTAGAGCATGTTTTTGAAATATGTCCCTAAGGTGGAACACTCCATGTAATGTAGCGCCCAACATCTGCTGTCACCGGGTTGCTATTCCACTGCGCTGCTTACCATGTCCCTCTTTCCACAGTGGGCCGCCATGGCATCAACCACCATCGAGATTCCGCTGCGGGACAACCCGGAGGAGGTGATCGAGCTGGACGCCAGCCAGCTGCCCGATGGCGAGGAGGTGCTGGCCATCCTGCGCCAGGAGGAGGCGCCGCTCAACCTCTGGGTCAGCGTGGCCGTGCAGTACTTCAAGCAGCACAATGCGGCCGACTTCGTCAAGATCCTGGAGGCGTCGCGTACGGAAGCCAGCCTCAACTACCGCGACTTCCAGAAGGACCAGATGCGCGCGCTTGACACCTTGGCCGCGCACTACGTGCGCCAGGCCAACAACGAGAAGAACAAGGACCGCAAGAAAGACCTATTCACCAAGGCGACGCTGCTCTACACAACGGCCGACAAGATCATCATGTACGACCAGAACCACCTGCTGGGCCGCGCCTACTTCTGCTTGCTGGAGGGCGATAAGATGGACCAGGCGGACGCGCAGTTCAACTTTGTTCTCAACCAGTCGCCCAACAGCATTCCCGTCATTGCTGGGCAAGGCGTGCATCGCCTTCAACAAGAAAGACTACAAGGGCGCGCTGGCCTTCTACAAGAAGGCGCTGCGCACGAACCCGCGCTGCCCGGCTGACGTGCGCCTGGGCATGGGCCACTGCTTTCTCAAGCTTGGCAGCGCCGAGAAGGCGCGGCTAGCGTTCGAGCGCGCGCTCGAGCTGGACGCCAACTGCGTGGGCGCGCTGGTCGGTTTGGCCATACTTGAGCTGAACAACAAGCAGCCCGACTCGATCCGCAGCGGCGTGCAGATGCTGTCGCGTGCCTACACTATCGACCCCACTAACCCGATGGTGCTCAACCACCTGGCCAACCACTTCTTTTTCAAGAAGGACTACGTGAAGGTGCAGCAGCTGGCCACCTACGCACTCTACAACACCGAGAACGACGCGATGCGCGCCGAGAGCTGCTACCAGCTGGCGCGCGCGTTTCACGTGCAGGCCGACTACGAGAAGGCGTTCCAGTACTACTACCAGGCGACGCAGTTTGCGCCCCCCAATTTCGTGCTGCCGAATTACGGCCTCGGCCAGATGTACATCTACCGAGGCGATGCAGAGAACGCCGCCCAGTGTTTTGAAAAGGTGCTCAAGCTGCAGCCGGGCAACTACGAGACGATGAAGATCCTAGGCTCACTGTACGCCACGTCGACGAGCGAGTCGAAGCGCGACATCGCGAAAGGCCACCTGAAGAAGGTGACGGAGCAGTTCCCCGACGACATCGAGGCCTGGATCGAGCTGGCGCAGATTCTGGAGGGCACCGACCTTCAGGGCTCGCTGGCCGCCTACAACCATGCCATCAGCATCCTTAAGGAGAGCGTGCTGGCCGAGGTCCCGCCGGAGCTTCTCAACAACGTGGCGTCGCTGCAGTTCCGGCTGGGCAACCAGGATTCGGCGCACAAGAATTACGAGCAGGCGCTGGAGCGGTGTCGCCGCGAGTCAGAACACGACCCCCAGTACTACAACAGCATCAGCATCAGCATCACGTACAACTTGGCGCGCCTGTACGAGGTGCGCTGGCTGAACGACCGCGCCGAGAAGCTCTATAAGGACATCCTGAAGGAGCACCCCAACTACGTGGACTGCTACCTGCGCCTCGGCTGCATGGCGCGCGACCGCGGCCAGATTTACGAGGCCTCCGACTGGTTCAAGGAGGCGCTGCAGGTCAATAACGAGCACCCGGACGCCTGGTCGCTGATCGGCAACCTCCACCTGGCCAAGCAAGAGTGGGGGCCCGGTCAGAAGAAGTTCGAGCGCATCCTTAACTCGACGCCGCACGACCCGTACTCTCTGATAGCGCTGGGCAACGTGTGGCTGCAGACGCTGCATGTGCCCACCAAGGACAAGGAGAAGCTGCACCGCAACCAGGACCGCGCGCTCGCCATGTACAAGCAGGTGTTGCGGCACGACCCGCGCAACATCTGGGCGGCCAATGGCGTGGGCGCCGTGATGGCGCACAAGGGCTACATCTCCGAGGCGCGCGACATCTTCGCACAGGTGCGCGAGGCCACGGCCGACTTCTGCGACGTGTGGCTCAACATCGCCCACGTCTACGTCGAACAGAAGCAGCTGGTCAGCGCCATCCAGATGTACGAGAACTGCCAGAAGAAGTTCTTCAAGTTCAACAACGTGGAGGTGCTGCTGTACCTGGCGCGCGCCTACTTCAAGGCGGGGAAGCTGCGGGACGCCAAGATGACGCTGCTGCAGGCGCGCCGTGTGTCGCCGCAGGATACCGTGCTGCTGTACAATCTGGCGCTGGTGCTGCAGCGGCTGGCCATGCAGATCCTCAAGGATGAGAAGTCCAACCTAAAGACGGTGCTGCAGGCCGTGCACGAGCTCGGCCTGGCGCACAAGTACTTCCAGTACCTCTCCATCAACGGCGATCGCATGAAGTACGACCTGGCGATGGCTGAGGTGGAGGCGCGCCAGTGCCAGGACCTGCTGTCGCAGGCGCAATACCACGTGTCGCGCGCGCGCCGCCAGGACCAGGAGGAGCGCGAGCTGCGTCGCCGCCAAGACCAGGAGCGGCAGGCGTTCCTCCTGAAGCAGCAGGAGGAGCAGCAGCGGCTCGAGGCTGAGCGGCGCCAGCGCGTCGAGGCGCAGATGAAGACTCGCGAGGAGTTCAAGGAGAAGATGAAGAACGCCGTCATTCCCGAAATCCCGCCGGAGACGTCACGCGGCAAGAAGCGCGCGCGCGGCCGCCGCGACGGCTACGTGTCTGACGCGTCCGGTGGATCGGGCGGTGAACAGCGCTCGGCCAAGAAGCGCAAGCCGCGCGAAAAGAAGGCTGGCGGCCGCGGCCGCGGCCGTAAGGGGCGCGACGCCGCCGGCTCCGGGTCGGACGCCGAGCCGCGCGGCCGCTCGCGCAAGAAGCAGACCAAGGAGGACGTGGACGGCCTCACGCTCAAGCAGCGGCGTAAGGTCGTCTCCAAGGCAACCATCTCCGACTCGGACAGCTCCGACTCGGGCGGCGCTGCTCGCAGGCGCGACAGCAGCGAGGACGAGCCGACCGGCGGCGGCCGCAAAATCCTCTCCGACTCGGATGAAGGCTCGGCGCGTAGCGGCCGCTCGCGCTCGGCCAGCCCGGCTCACTCCGGCTCCGGCTCACGTAAGTCGGCGTCGCGCTCCCGCTCGAGGTCGGGCTCCGCCGCGTCCAAGCGCTCCGTTTCCCAAGCACGCTCGGCGAGCGGCTCGCGCTCCCGCTCTCGCTCAGGTTCCGGCTCTCGCTCGGGCTCAGCCGCGTCCAAACGGTCGCGCTCCAAGTCGGGCTCTCGCTCCGGCTCCAACTCGCGTTCGCGGTCGCGGTCGCGCTCCAGATCGGGGTCTGGCTCGCGGTCGGGTTCAGCGGCGTCCAAGCGGTCGGGCTCGGCGGCGTCCAACCGGTCGGGGTCTGGCACAGACGCGGATTGAGCGAGCTGCGCAGCTCAGCCAGCCATATCGACCGTCATCGCCAATCGCGTCATCCAGCGGGCGTCGCAGCGCACGGCCGGAGCGGTGACCGCGGCGCGCTGCAGACTGTGGCTGTGGAGCGCTTTGACCGCGGTTGCCATCTGGAGTCATCACCCATCTGTCGGCGCAGGCCCCGGGACACGCCCTGGAGACGGGCCGCGGTCGGCTGCTGGTGCGCTCCATAGTGCGTAGTCAGCTCGCTGTCGGCAGTCCTGCAAAGACGAGGCCGGACTCCGCTGTCCCGAGCCGAGATGAGTTTGTGCTGCGAGCTGCGTTCATCCTGTTCATCGGTGCGAGTCATGCTCAGCTGAGCACTCGTAGCTGCGCGCTGGCCAGGGTGTGAACGCGACGCCATTTTTAGCGCAGCCCCGCGTCGCAACGTGAGAGTGTATGAGCTGTGATTGTGTTCACTGGGTGTGGACATCTTGAGAAGCATCCAATAAACTGGATGGTTGATGCCGCTCTGTACTGGTGACTATCCTTTTGATGATGAGCTCGCCTAAAATAGGATTTAGGTTGAGGCTGGAATCGGCATGTCTTGAGGTTATTTGATTTGTGTCAGTAGCAATATCCCACGCTTAGTAGTTGATTCGAGTCGCTTTAATGTTGGCTGCATCCAAATTCCCTCTATTTTTGGGAGACGCTGGCAGCTCCAGTCACTATCAACCACAATATTCGTCCACCGAACGCTAGAAATGCAATCAAGCACTGGAACTGGAATAAAGCTGCTCATCGCTGATCAACGTATCTGTGTGTTGCCGGGCGGATCATACCGTAACGATACTGTCGGTGACTTTTAAAGGGTATTTTGAGTAGCTTAAACGCCGTGGAACTGCTCTTTGTTTATATTCGGAAGCCTCGTTTATTTCAAGTGGCTGCGATTTGTGCCTGTCCTGGTAACTTCCATTCACGTCCCGTTTTATTGGCACGGTGCCCTGCCCACCTACCGTTCACGGTCCACGACGGCCCGTTGAGGAAATGAAGCCGGCTGAGGCTAGGATGTCCAACATATAACGACCCTCAGCTCGTCGCCATCACTCCAGCAAAAGCTGTGTAAAGCTCGTTGGCGTTGACGGGCGGAAGCGTTGTCTCCGAGGACTCGGGACCGACTCCGGGGACTCGGACCAGGCTCCGGTGACTGGAACCAGGCTCCGGTGACTGGAACCAGGCTCCGGTGACTCTGACCAGACTCCGGTGGCTCGGACCAGGCTCCGGTGACCGGGACCAGGCTCCGATGACTCTGACCAGACTCCGGTGACTCGGACCAGACTCAGGTGACTCGGACCAGACTCCAGCGAGTCGGGCCAGGCTCCAGTGACTAGGACCGAACTCCGGTGACTCGGGCCGATACAGGGCTCCGCGGACGATCTGCGGTGCGCCGGGTGTCGCCTCCCCCAGCGTCTGTCCTTCCGCTGTTACATGGACGCCGGGCTGCCGACATGTCATTGTCCAGCCGCCAGGCCAGTGGTGCCACAAACTCCCTGAAAACGGGTCAGCTTATCAGCGCGTCTTGTCGCAACGCTGTACAGGTGAACTACTGCGGGTGCATTCGTCAGTGGCCAACCTGGAAATATTCGCTACGGGATGCGATGAAATGATGCGATGCGAAATGATGCGGGATGCGATGATCTGCGTGCTTTAAGGCATGGATTGACACCACAAAGCACACAGATAATTTCCAAAGTAGTCGCAGTGCACGGATCAAATGCCGGACGGCCTGTAAGTCGAATTTAGCCCTGCATCGACAAGGTTCCTCTCAGTCAGAATGTCTGCGGGATCACATGTTAGCTTTCTTTGGTATCTGTTTGCATCCTTCTCGCGTGGCTCAGAGTCTACTCTGATCTTCTGATCCGCCTAGCGTCATATTGGAGCGGATGACGCAGCCTTTTCGGACGTTATCCTAAACCTTCGTCACCTTCTGGCGTAATCTGTTGGCTGGCCTGGCCCCATTTGGCCACCTGATGCGGCCTGGGAACTAACCTGACCCCAAGCCGGCTTCTTAGTGACCTGGGGATTGACCTGACCGTAGGTTGGCGTCCGACTGACCTGAGCAGCACTGGCAGCCGGGGACTGCGCCAGATGAAGTCGTGGCCGTACCGGAAGCGGGCCTCGAACGTGTGCAGACGAACCTGGTGGGTCGGCTGGTATCGCAGCGCGCTCCGGTGCAGCTGTCAACAGCAGACACTGCCTCAGGCCTACTGTACACCTTCTGATCAGACGCCACCTCAGGCTTAGTGTTTTACACTTACTGCAATGTTCAAGCATGCAGTTATTGTTATTATTTTACATTGTCTGTGTCATCGTTAATGGAGAAACCAATGCAACCCGCTTGTTTATTTTAGGACCTTTGAAAAGTCGTTGGAGTTCTTTAAATACCGCTCGGTTATACGCGGCATTCAATGTTTTCTAGTCATGCTTCGTTTTAGCGAAATGAAAGCTTGCGATAAATTTACGTCATTAAATCCATACGTGCCCTGAGCGGGCACGTGAAGCGAGCGAACAGCCGCAGTCATGCCGGCGAGACCAAATCCCAGCCCGTCTTGTTTGCTTGTCTCCGTAGAATTAGCAAGATTCCGACGTCACGACAACGTACGTTATCAAGCAAAAACCAGACCAGGAGTGCAGCCAGAGTCTTGGTAAGTGGGGGATAATTATTCACCGCAAATGGTTCACTTTCGAAGGGCGTAAAGATCTTTCTTTTATTTATTGTTTTGCCTTCATTAGCCAAAGGGAGGCCAAAAGCTACCAGAAATGACAATCTGGCTCATAGTTAGAGGCTAATGAAATGGACGAACCAGTTACCTGTAAAATATGTGCATCGAATTTATGACCGGTTTCATTCACTTTACAATGATCCCTCATTCAGCCCCTTCCAAAAAACAAAAACAATGAAGGGTTGCCAATATTGTTTAGGGCTCCACAGAGATGTCGCGGGGTCCGGAGTTTTGAACAACAGAGCAAATCGAAACGAGGTAGAAAAATAACATTAAGAAAAAATTGTTTTGAACCTTCTTGGAAGCGTGGGTTTCTAGGATCAGTTTTTATAGAAATGACCACTCACAATAATTCCTGACACCCATGCTTCCAAAGAGGTTCAGAACAAATATTTTGAACAATGTAATTTTTAGTGCTCACCCTAAGCAGTGCTTATTGTGTGAGCCCTGACTCCCACCATTAGATTGTGCAATTCCAGGTCAGCTGCAGGCTTACGGGATAAGAGTTTAACATGCCCCAGTGTTTGGCACGGCCCAACCTGCCCTCTGACGTCAGTTGACCCTTAGCGTAACCGCTGCCACCAGCCACAGGCCATGTCTGTCAAGGACAAGTTGAAAAATCTTGTCAAGGACAAGTTGAAAAATCTTGTCGAGGACAGCAAGCGTTATACATGGGCATTGGTCATTGGCTGACGTCAAACACCGTCCCGCCCCCTAAACATGTACTTGGAGATTTACCTTCGCCCGCTACGTTACGATAACGGACCCCCCCCCCCCCCCCCCTCTTTCAATTATTGCAATACCTGGACGCCCAGGCGACACGGGATGATGACATCGTCTTCTGCGTGCAGAATCAGCGTGGGAACCGTGACGCCCGCGATGTGGACGTCGCTCTCGAACGCCATACCGTTCACTTTCAGAGGTGCGACGAAGAACCAGTGGAAGCCGGGCATATCACGGTGAAACTGGATCCGAAACGTTTGATCAGGGCTGCAGATTCGGTGGCCAGATCTGAGGACGATGCTGTTTAAACGCGTCAGCGTTCAAGACACGCTATTTTGACTCGTCGCTGCCTGGTTCATTAACTGGTTCTTAACACACTCGTGCATTTACGTATCCACGTGGCTCTCATCTTACCAAAAAAAAACATGATAAAAGCCACTTTTTAAGAGGCTATACCTTCTGCCGTGTGAACTAATCATTTTGAATGTTATTCTGTCAGGTATCAGTCACCCAAACATCGCAGTCAGCTGGTGCACACTGCTTTAATCGGCGGGTGTGGCCAGCCGGCGCCCACCGTCGCAAGGAAGTGGGCTGACACCTCGTGCGCTAGGTTGTCGAAGGGTGCCTCCAGCACCAGGCCGGCCGGCGGCTGGCCGTGCCGACACAGGGCCGACACGAGATGGACAGCTACCCTGCGGAGAGGCCGGTCAGCGGTCAGCCAGCCCCGCGGGGCCCGCCGGCGTCACCGGCCGCGGGCAGCAGCTGACCACCAGCACACTGTCTCAAGCGGGTGTAGCGTGCTGAGAGCCACGGCTTGGGCACACTGTTCTACGGTTTCTCTCCCGGCATGAAAAGGTAACGATGCCGTGCAGCAGTAGGGCAGACCATCCAAACAGCGACATTTGGCGAATATGACGTCAAATTCATATTTTTATACTCAAATTCACCCGACCAGGAGCAGTCAAATTCATGGCATCTACGTTCTGTACATTTCCGTATTTCTTAACGAAACCGTTTTGTTCACGAACTGGGCTAGCAAACAGGGCTGCTGAAAATTGACGAGGTAAGACCTGCACACTTTATGATTCATATTTGTCAGACGTAAATTCACTTCATAGAAAACCAGTTGTAAATCATGACCATCTTTTTTTGTTTGCTGTTTTTCAGTAGCCATTAGTGGTGCCAAGCTCGTAGCCGCACTGTCAGGCGACGACTCGAGGGTAAGTACTCGACGAGCGACAAGCATTCCAACATTTCACTCCACGCCCCGCCTGGTGTCGCTCACCATTAGCCGACACCTGCCGTCGCCCTCAGCCAATGGAGCAGGTGGTGGAGCAAGCCCCTGAGGTCACTGCAGACTGATCGCAGCCTTCATCGCACCGTCAATACAGACGCAATACAGATGCGGGCTACCGATATCGTATGTGTAGAAGCGGGAACTGGAGGGACATGAGGGTAATGGACACCATGCTCATGTCAATAGGCTTTTGATGTTGGAATAGGAAAGCACATTGGTTTGAATTTTGCTGAGAGCTGCGTTGTTGGCTGCGACAATATTATCCTGTATATAAGGGAATTGGGGCGTGACTGGCCTCGGAGCAAGGCGGCTGGGTGCCAAGAATAATCCATATTGAATGGAACTGATTATTACATTCCATTTAATTCAGTGATGTGTGTGGAGATGAATTCAAAGGTAAATATTGTATTGGACTTCCGCTGTTTGATGCGCTTCTACGTTCCTGATCGTCCACGCAGACAATGGCGGCAGATCACCTTTACGACTGCAATCCACAGAAATGATCCTTAAAGCTGTCACCGATGTCGTGTCACACCTTCTTTTACGCGGTTTCCTTTTTTCCCTCATACTAAGCCTCAGTGACTTGAGGTCTTTGATGGACAGCTCTCATGTGGCCAACGGTTGTCAGACCCCGGGTGGGCTGACGCTGTCGGCTCTATAACCCGCGGCACTGACCCTGAACCGAGCGAGTGACCCCAGACCAGGATCGGAGAGTCGGCCGTCCTTCGCCTCAGCCACTCGTACACGCAGCGGCTGTCGGCGACGAGGCCGTCCTCGCTGAGCGGGCCCGACGATGAGTCGCCGTAGCCTGCCGGCGCGGGGCGGCAAGGTACGGCGCAGTCCGGCCGTGAGCACTGACGTACATCTGGTTAGACATTACAATGGCGCCACTGTACTGGTCGACAGGACTGCTTTTAGAGTTGGAATGTTTGGCACGAGGTGCGGACGCTGATGAAGTATTTATTTTGATGATTGTTTTCCTTGCTTATGTTATAGCTCACCGGAAGTGTACCCCCCCCCCCTCGCTATTTCTCCCGCTATTGTGAAGTCCAGAAAATGATCTGGGATATTTGGCGCTTAGCCACATAATCACCTCGCTTCGTAGTTGGAGCGTAGGTGTAATCGTGCTGTTATCGGTTCGAAGCTACCAGAAGCTTATGATACTCAAACGCACACACTGTGATGGGTGTCAAGCATTCCAGACCCCGCATAGAACGAACAAGTACTTGATGATGACATGATAATTATACCGCTGAAGTGTTATGCGGTTCAACATGCCACCTACGGGGATGGTGATCTGAGCAACTATGTCATCAGACCAGTTTGACCTTTTTATTTCTTAGTCTCTTCGTTAAGAATTTGTTTAGGGTCATTTTGCATCGTCCTTGCTTGGGAAGTAGGGTATATTCACGTACGCCGATTCACTTATTTCACTTATTCAATCGTCAAAATCACGAGAAGTTGCTGTGGTAGAAAACAAGTACAGATTGTGCCGGTGACAGAGCACTGATATATGTGAAATGAAGCGATTGCTTTGATTTGGTCGAGCTGAACTAACCTGCCACTAACGTGGGATCAAGCCCTATATTTGTGCGGGCAGTTTGCTTGCGGATAGACTACTTGTTCGAGGTATAGTCCTTGTTGGATACGTTAGTGTGTCAATGCTAGTGCGTACATCCTAGCACACCAGACGCGGACGATAGTCGATGCTAGTGCGTGCATCCTAGCACACCAGACGCGGACGATAGCCCGGACAATTATTCCAGCCGTAATGCGAATGTCTCGTCTGAGTCTTTCGGTAAAACCACATCATTACGTACGCCTCAAACATCGTGGTATAGTTTGTTTGCATTACGCAAACACGTTTGCAAGTGATTAATGTTTCTAGAGAGCTCCTCGCAGAATCCTGCGAACTTCTTAATAATCCCCAGAAAAACTGAATATTTCAAGGCGATTCATGCGCGGTAGTCTTGACATGGACAACACACGCCACCATTTCACACGTGATCTTGAACACATCTGACCGAACATCTGACAGCACAGGATGTAGAGACAGACTCTGCTGAACTTACAGCGGTAGTCGACTGCGATAACGTGGTAGCCGAGGTTCCGCAGGGTCTGATACACTTGAACGCGCCCAAGGAGAGCCCTGGAGCCGCTAATACCATGCAGATACATTACGACTGGCGCGCCACCTTGCAGACTGCGCTCGTAGTAGTCCGGATTGTCTTCGGCCGGTGGCGCCACTTTCACTTCTGGCTCCGGCAAAACATGCCTGTGCGCAAAGCAAGCACGCAGTCTGCTTCAGCCGGTCAGCGTCCGGGGCTTCAGCGTCGTGTCTTCATCGTGTCGTTGTCATGTCCTCCTCACGTCGCTGTCGTGTTCGTGTCGTGCCGTAAGTGTGTGAAAAATACGACGTCACCCCGGTGTATACGGTGTATAACCCCGTCATAGCCAGCCGCACGGAGGTCTTTATCATTCCAGAGCAATATGAACAATGTGGGGCAGGGAGCTCGTCGGGCTCTCGGGCCTCGTTAAGCTGAATTTCAGCAGCTGCTGGCGCCTTCCAGAACGGTCAATGCATGGCGCTCGGCAGCTCCGGGAAGTCGTCATCGTGCTTGCCTTGGATTGGACGACGAGCTGGGGATAGTGGTTAGTGCACCCTCTCACGATTATTAAAACAGCCGTAATGCTTACTTGATATCATTAAGCTGTGTCAAGCATGTCAACCATCATGTATGTATCACAACTAAACTACCCCAATATGCAGATCACCGGCTAAATTAGGTGACTCCAAACGAGTAGGAAAGATAAGTTTACTGGGCACCGGTTACTACACTGATTCATACTGTTATCAAAACCACGTCTGGGACACAGAGATCAGGGTAAAAGTCACCAATCGGCTGACCACTGACCAGATCCCGAGTGTAACTCCATCTGTTGTCGATAAGCTGAAGCTGCGGGTGGCGAGAAGGCCTCTTTGTTCAGGACTGTGGTAGTTCACGCGGCAGGGCCACATCTCTGAAACAGGGCGGTGACAGAACAGGGGAATAGTGCAACTGTCTGTTGGTACGGCACTCGGCGACGATATTCTCAGAACCGGTGATCATTGCACTTCACCCTGCATCCTCGCGATGCCCCGTTTATCCGGGGCAAGTTGCATTCATGAGCCATGTGTATGTTAAGTGTCCCTCTGTGAAGTGCCGAGCACCCACACCTGTTATAGTAGCGTGCGTCACCGAACAAAGTTCGTTCGTAGAATACGGTGAGCCGGTGTTAAGTTGGTGCGCAATGACGATGAGAATGCGACCGCGAATTTTTTTGTTATAAAATTGATGGGGGACTCAGCCTGCGCCACGGATTCAAGTTATGCCTATTCGTTGTCCCTTAGAGATGGTCCTGTTACCTGGTGGCCAGCAGAAAATCCACTCGAAGCATGGGATAAGAGTAATTTGGTGTATAGGGCTTGGCTGAAAGGTGAAATCAGCAAAAATAACCTATAGAAAGCCTCACTTAACCTGCTCCAAAATGTAGTAAGCTGGTTTGGGATTATCATGGAAAACATTGCGCAAAGGTATCGCCTTGTGACACTATTGGAGGCTCAGGGCTTTTCAGGCTGATTCTTTCCATGTATCATCACAGTCGTACTGTTAATTTTTAGAAGTACTGGGACCCAGCCTCCCTGAACAATGTGAAACGACAAGCTTGGCATAAGGCACTCATACCAAGCTACAACACGTACCAAATATGAATGTTGTGTAACAAGCCCACGTTCTACATGCTTCGATATCTCCTCGGCTTGTTGACATTGGCATCAAAACGACTTCACTCTTCAGATCACGGCTTAGGACTGTGCGAGGACTGCGCTATGCCGTTGCCTTGCTGTGTAAACAGATGGAGAGGGCAGTAAATAGGAGAAGAGATGGGGTGCTGTCGTGGCCGACTGGGCCGAGTCAGTCAATGTGTGGTATCGCCAAACAGAGATCAGTTATGCGCCAGTTCTCAGCGGAGTCGGCCGCTAGCGGTGTGAGGTGTTAGCAGTGAGTTAGTCGTTGATGTCGGTGTGAGGTGTTAGCAGTGAGTTAGTCGTTGATGTCGGTGTGAGGTGTTAGCAGTGAGTTAGTCGTTGATGGCGGTGTGAGGTGTTAGCAGTGAGTTAGTCGTTGATGTCGGTGTGAGGTGTTAGCAGTGAGTTAGTCGTTGATGTCGGTGTGAGGTGTTAGCAGTGAGTTAGTCGTTGATGGCCGTTCCGTTTATTTTCGTAGCGAGCGGATCACTCCTGCCTCCGGAGCTGAGCGCACTCTGTGCGTTCGGTCCCACGGCTCGGGGCCACCGAAACAGCTCGCAGCGCCGACGCCGGCAGCGCTTCGTATTTCAAGGCTGAGGACAGTACTTTACAGACATCGGCCGCATCAGTACAGCCAATATGAACATAGCAGAGGATTTCAAAAAAGGTGTGGTAAGCCCGGCACAGATTATATTGGAAAAATTGTAGACCACAGCCAACCGCTTGCGCGGTTGGGCCTGGCTCTTTGACTGTCAGATGGATCACATACATGTCAGCGCAGGAGGTGTGCGCAAGGAGAATACGTGTTTGTGACAGCCGAGCCCAGAGAAGAATACCATGGATGCCACACCCACAGCCCAGTGAAGCCATAGGCCAGTTCAGTGAACTCCGGGCAATATTCTGATGCTATGGCGGAGACGTGACAGTGCGTGGGCGTAATGGCATGGCGGTAGATGCTGGACGCTACGGCGGAATTTGTCGACTTTTTCACAAGAACAAGAAACCTGTTCATCATTTAATTGACCGGCCGCATGCAAGCGTACTTAATCCGCGGCAGCTGTTCGGGAGCTCGATGATGTAACAACTGGACTGGAGGTGTTCGCGGGACCGCCTCACAAATCGGCTGCAGGAGCAGCTTATGAGCCGCCTGTCGTCCAGTGCAGACCTACCAGCAGCGATGTCACAGAGATATACAGGCAGTCACAGAGTCACAGGCAGTCGTGCCTGCTGACCTCAGCTCTGACCACCGGGGCCTCTATGACGTGGCTGCTAGTGTTCAGGGCAGGACGGCTTCGACGGACATAGCGGGCCGCAGCACCGTGTCGCCAAGCCATTAGAGGTGAGGTTGGATCCTCGCTCATGTATAGCACGCTGCTCGTTCTTAAACGTGTTCCGGGCGGGTGTCTTTGACGTTTTCTTGGCTATCTTGATAAGTTTCCATTGCATATTTTTCATTTGATTTAAGTCACGTTTAGATTCAAAGCAAGTACGAATTTCAGCTTTTTAAACACACGTTTAGTAAGTACCTAATGCGCTGCCGCCGATTTTGTGTTCTGATGTGGCAGATCATGGGAGGATGATGGTGGCATTGCTGTGCTAGCATAAATGTAACCCATGTCTGTACGCATGACGGGTCGACACAAATTACCTCCGGTCACCAACTCCATTTCCAGCTACCAAACCCTTTGCCGACGCATAAATGCCTGAGTTTGCTTGCACACATGCGAACAGCATATTATACACCTTGCTGGTGGCCCATGTTTGGCGCACGTTTGCTGCGGACGTACATGGCGGCGTGGATTCCAAGCACCTAGCTTCAGGACGTGACGAAGTTTCTGGTCCGCCATCACGTATCAGCATGGTTCAACATACAGCAAAACGACATCAAGCCGTAAAGCATATCAAGAGCTGCCGCCTTGAGTCGCAACAAGATGGCCGCCGCTTCCCTTGGCCGAGTACCAGCTTTGAACTTTGCTGTTAACGATCATGGACAGGTATTATAGTGAGACCTATTTCTGTCTGCCTTCTGGATTTCTGTCACCAGCATACCCGGTGACAGAAATCACCACTGACAAAAATTCTGCGTGGATAGGGCTTCAAAGACATCAAAAATGCCCCGCCAAAGATGAAAGAATTCCCTGTCCGGCACTAAGACCGTGGAGAGAGTGGTTCCAGCGATGACAGGAGCGTTAGGTTTCGTGATCATTGAGGCGGAGCGACGTGGATCTAGATCTGCGCCTGGAGCACAGGGGGCGAATACCGACGCAGTCAAGACACGATTTCGCTTATCGTTTGACCAAGAGCTTGGGTCCAAACAGATGCTTACAGGAGGGGCGGCCACGTGCACCAGTGAATCCTTTTTCACGAATCTATTTCTGTCGTATCTGCTTTGACACCCCGGTTTAGGGTACTGGAGCAGATCGCTCCACGCTTCATGAGACTTGTGATCGCTTATGATGCGTGGAAGTATGCATATGTCGAGGTGGAGAGTGGCATGTGTGCATTACATTCAACGTTTGAAGCCGTTCGTATGGTCCAATATGCTCTGTGTTTGCTGAAATACTATACATTGCAATTTGTGTGGACGATGTTGTCTTATCTTTGTGGACACGTGCCCACTTTTACGACATGGACTTTCCACCCATAAATCTGTCTCATCGAGTTGGTGAAAAGCATACGTCACATGTTACATTTAATGAAAAATAAGGAAGCTGTGATTTGCGCCACCAGGTGTCAGCACTGACAATGGCGTGGTACAGTACACAGAGTGGCGCAGGCTGGCTTTTCAATGCTCCAAAGAAGTACTTTAAGAAGTTAAATGACATTTTATGCGGCATCATGCTCTGCAACCACCGACATCCAGCGCCGTATAGAGATATCTCTTCCGGCTTCCGAGTCTCGGTGGGGGACTCCCAGGTGCATGCCGTCTTGCCCCACCACTATCCTTCCTTCCTCACCCCATAGCCCCAAAAATGGGTGCGCATGGCTGAAACGGCTTTTTTCCAAACCAAACAAAAAAGAGCCGGCTGGAGATTCACCTTTGTTTTCCGGCTCGCCGTTTTAGCCTCCATTCCCTCAGCTTATAGCAGTTTATCCGGGACAAGTTACATGCACCGGCCATCAGGAGGTTAACCGTACCCCTGACGGGAGTCCCAATTGAACACGAACACACAGCCCACAGAAGGTTCCCTGTGGAAGTAAATTCGGTAGCGGACCACCAGATGCATGCCGTCTTGCCCCACCGCTCGTCGCTCTCAGTCATCTCACACACCTGAAATGGTCATGGCTGGTTGAAAGGGCCCTAATCTAAACCGAGCCAAAACATTGTCTAACAAACACGTCAGTAAAATAAGATGATCAACAAAGGGGATCACTCATAGCGAAAGATCAGGGTCACGCCAATAGTGAGCTGTGTGTCACGGTAGGGCTAATGTCAGGGGCACCGGCTTCGGTCGGTGAAGGGAACTAGCGCCCCCTTGGGTCGCAGC